ATCTTGAAGGTAGGGAAAAGACATCCTAGGGCATTGCAACTGTTCTTTCTTTTTCTTACTACCGTGTCTTTGGTTGTATACCCAATGGGATATGTAAAAGAATTACAGGTACGACCCTGTTGATTTTCCTAGTTCAGCCTTTCTGTTTCAAGTGCGGTTGGATGGCCGAAGGCAGTCAGCTTTACTGCGGAGCCCAGACTGCTGAAGGCACCTTACTGATGTTATTGCCCAAGACGCAGTATTTCTCCAGGGCAAGAAACAGACTCCTAAAGAGGACCTATATTTTAGACACTTAATTGAAGATGATTAAACAAAGAGAAGCCATAAAAGAGGAAAACTAAGTTCCTCCCTTACAAGTACGGAGCATAATATGCCGGTTCAGCTCCGAAGAAGCTGCTGGTATATGAGCTTGCAGTTATCCCAGCAGGCTGGCAAAAGAGAAAATTTCTAAACTTTAAATGAAAGTAAGTCCCAACTCCCTGATCTGTACTTTAGATGGGGGAAGTCAGGTTCAATGCGGTTGTCTATGCAGTTGTTGGCACAAGGTGGGCAAGCGTATTTTAGATGGAGAGATGACCACATCTGGAAGAGGTTGATTCCTCAGCTGTACTGAGCTGGATCAGGAACTTCTACTCTATCTTCTATTCTATCTAGGGGTCAAGAGAAGTGTGTGCAGACAGGATTTCCATACGCTACATCGGCAGAAGCTGCTTTTGTAGCACCCCTAAGGCTAGCTGCAGCTTAGGAGAAGCATCATTACTTTACAGTGAAGAAGCGGAGATGCATATTGCAGCAGGGTAAATGTCAAGGAAGTGCAAAGATAAACTTTAAGCATGCTCTTTACTGTATCTTTATCCTTCTTTTCTGCTCAACACACTGAATTAAAATCCTCGTGCCAATTCCCTCCACCCAATCTTGATCCCAAAATTTTGGGTTTAGGTCAGAAAAAAAGACCCAAATTAATGTGCTCTCTAGATCTTTTGACTTGTTTCAGGAAGTACCTCATAAAAGAAGCCAGTCTTGCAAAATCTGGGCCCAAATCACAGAAAGCAGCTTGCAAGTAGTCATTAGTAGAGAGCCCATTGTCAAGATGTGGCTTAGCTTAAACTCTAAAACAAAGCCTAAAATCCAAGCCAAATTGAAAATGTCACCCTTTTAAAAACAGGCCTGTGTAGTGCAGACACACATACCCAGTCACGCTGTACGAATGGTGTGCCATTATTATACATAGCGTAATATAGCCTGAATACACCCTAATATTACTAGTTAATTACTAAGGAGCTTCATGCTAGCATTTCCATTCCAGGCACTTAAAAAATTCTTTCTCATGGACATTCCAGCTATATTCCCATTCCATTTCAATTAAGCTGTTATTACCTAATTTCCTAAGAAACTTTTCACATGAGTAAACTCCCTAACGTTAAAAGTAGTCTCCCTTTCAATGTACACATTAAAAAAAAAAAATCCTCTTAAACTCTCAAGGATTTGCTTTTTTTTGTGTCTCACGCCCACATACGCCTGATGTGGAACGCAACCCGCAGCTTCGGTGATCAGTCCAGCAACGGAGCGAATCCCGCTTCATCCTATAGATTCCCGTTCCACCCTATAGCTGTTTCCCAGGGAACCAACGTGAATTACAGAAATGTGCCGTTCACAGGGACAGAAGGGAAAAAAAAGCCCAACCCTTCAACATTTCCTGCAGCTCCGCTAAGAAGTGACTTAAAATAATGCTGTAGGATAAGTGATATACTGACAGGATAGCAGCAAGCAGGCTCAGCTTTGGTTCTCATGCCTTCACAAGGAAAGGAGGAGTAGAGAACTCACGCCAGGCTGCCAGCATCCCTTAGAGAACTCCCAAATCTTAGGACTGTATACAGCTAATTCTTTCAGCTTGGCCTAAATGCAACAGGAGTCAGAGCTTAACACGACGAGATGCTCGTTTTCTTTCAGGACCAAGCTCTTTGGCTCACAGATGGAAAGTTTCAGGATTATAGTCTTTTCATTCATTCGAGCACTTAAAGAGCCACGCTATCGAGGGTCTGTTTTCTTCAAGACCTGAGCTGCCTTTACTGCATGACTACCGCATATACTCGTGCACATGGCATCACAGACGTATGTACACCTCGAAGGTGAACAGATCCTTGTCTAACAGGTGGTCTATCAGTGGGAAAGACAGACCAAATAAGCCCCGTGGGACTGTTTTAATCAGAAGCCTGGCATCACACCCAGGTGATTCACACAGCAGGGGCATGACTGCCACAGTCTGCAATAAGGACTTTCTTTTTCTTACCTTCAAAACAAATTTCTCATTTCTCCAACTGTATTTTTTTTCTTTTTAGCAGTTGGAGTATTCCTAGGTTGATATAATAGCACTCGGGAATCTTCTTGCATAAGGCTCTAAAGAAAACTAAAGCCCCTTCCTATTTTTCTGAGCGTCCAATATAGTGGGATAGATGGCCCCAGTGTCGGGACAAACTGGAGGTCTCCATACCGCTAGCTGAGTTGTATTGAAGAAAATATAGGAGAGGTCTTGAAAAGCTGTCTAAAATTGTAGCATTGTTAAACAGGCCCGGTCACTGCAAATGGTAAGTAGCAAGGCACACCTGTTCCAGTCCGTGGCACTCTTGCTATTAATTTTATGTCCATATATTTGAAGTGAAAATTAATTTTTCTATTTTTTCTGTCTTTTTTTTTCTTTGCAGGAGGCGCTGACATTTTCAGCAAGAGCTTTTTGGAAGACATATTGCAGTATTCTGTAATAGTGAACATATGGGAAGTATTAAAATATTTATTACCTGTAAATATTGTAAATGCTCAGAATAAAACCTTTTCCCCCATTGCTCTCTGAAACTGCACATTTGGTTATTGTGAATTTTCCTTTTTTTTTTTTTTTTTTTTGGCTAAGGCTAAGACAATTATTATTGTCACATTTACCATAATTTATTTTGTTGACTGGTGTATTTATTTTGTGAACGTATCTTGGTGCTGCTGACTTTCTATATTTTTTGTAACATAATGCACTTTAGATATACATATTGAGTACATTGATAACTGACATAAAATGTTCCTGGTTTGTGGTTGACTTCAATGAATGCCTACATCCAATTGTCCAAACTGATTTTCCTTTGTGCATGTATAATAGCAGTATTTTAAAATTTGTAAAGAATGTCTAATAAAATATAATCTAATTAAATAATGACTCAGAAGGAAAGATGTGTCCTTTAGGAATTTCAAGAACAGGAACGTTGGGTTTTTTTCTTCACTACATTTGAAAATCGTTTTAAATTTAATGTGTTTACATTGGTTCAAACTCCTACATTTTCACATTAGCTTTTACTTAAAAATCACTCAGAAGATATTTTGTTCCAATGCTCTATTTCAAGTCAGCTGAGTTGCCGAACAACCCGGGGGTACTGTCCTACAACTCCGACCCCACTGCAGGGAAAGCACGATTCCCAATCTTTCCAGCCCTGCAAAAGCTGAAGCGTTACACTCCCCAAACGAGAGGATGTGAAAAGCAGCCCCAGGGGATGCATCACTTACTACACTCTTGGAAGGTGCTCACATGTCACACCCCATCATTCTTGTTCAAAAATAGACAGATGCTCAGTGTCCTCGGCTCCCACCAACTTTACTCAAAGATGCAAAGGGTCTACAACATGAGTAGAGTCTCAGCTCTTTGTGCTTCGGGACCACCTTATGTTAACATGAGGGGGTGGGGGGGGGGGAA